GAGATGGGGTGTATTCGGATGTACGAGAAAGTCTTGACAAGTAATAGGACACAAGACCAAAACCAATCAAATCCCTTGCCGTCAAGTCAATTCTGACTCATAGCGACCCTATAAGACAGAATAGAACTGCACCATAGGGTTTCCAAGGAGCAGCTGGTGAATTTGAACTGCCAACCTTTCTGGTTAGCAGCTGAGCTCTTAACCACTGTGCCACCAGGGATCCAGGACGCAAGAAGAGGCAGGAAATATCAAGGAAGTATCTACAAAGGGCCTATAACAGCTATGCCAGCAGGACTAATTGAAGGCATTAAGATATTTTGATCTACACTTTTGCTGTCGGATAAAATTTGAAACTGTAACCCGTTAGAGTGATTACCATTTCTGGTTGATGCTATTGGGCCAGGTTTACAGTGAAGGTGTTATGTCCACATTTCAGAATGCAGTGTTCACACAGAATGTAATGGTCATAGAACAAAGCCAAGGGTCAGTAAGAAAGCCAAGAAGCCTGAGCACCTAACATAAAGGTCACAAAGCTCCGAGAATCTATCGACTTCTTTTAGGTGTAGTTTAATCAATTTATCTATCAATAAGTATTAATAAATGCCTACCATCTGCTGGGCAAGAGACACCAGACAAATTCACAACAAAAAAAGATTCAGAAAAATCACTTGGGGACCATTGACTATGTAGCACCACCTCCAGCCCTCTTCCCCCAGCAACACACACACACGCACACATACACACCTGAGTAGACCTGAGGGCATTACTGTATCACAGCACATGATCACAGCCAGCCCCTGGTTGCCACTCATTATTATAACCCAAATCTTTTATTAGAGGGACCTAAAGGGCATCGCATAGCAACCCTCTAGGATAGAGTAGAACTGCTACATAGGGTTTCGAAGGCTATAAATCTTTATGGAAGCAGACTGCCACATCTTTCTCCCATGGAGCGACTGGTGGGTTTGAACCGCTGATCTTTCGATTAAGCAGCTGAGCGTTTAACCACTGCACCACCAGGGCTCCTGTAGCGTGAGTTGGAATTAACTTGACGGCAGTGGGTTTGGTTTTTTTCGTTTGGAAAGGGCATCTAATTCAAACTTTATTAAATAATGAAAGTATTTCTTGACCAACCCAGTCTGCTGGGCACCCATAAAATATTGAAACAGTTCTCTAAGCAGATACCTCATTGGCTTTCTATTCCATTGGAGATCTGTACTGATTAGAAAACCCTCTCTTACGATCTGGTGAAACATGCTGCTTGCAGCTCCCATCCTTCACTGGTTCTCTTTCTGCTTGCCTCTGAGGATACACGCACGCACACACACATTTTTTGCTATAATGTCTTTTAAGTCTGCTTTAAGAAAGCTAAATAAACCCATTCTTTCATCTGTCATTCTGACATCATGTCAGGTGCCCTGACTCTCCTCTTCTCCTTGCTCAACTTTCAGAGTATAGTTCTGACTTACATAAAATAGAATGAGTCTGTTACCTCTCCTGTACTGGACATTGTTGTTTTAATGAGAGCTAAGGTTAATTCCCTGTTTTGAGTTATTTCCCCCACCTCATTTGATCCAGATCCACTTCTACCATATATCCCTCTAGTTCTGCTGTTATCCTGAGCTTTCACTTAGCTTCTAGACATTCCATTTTTTGTATTTACCCTGCCTTTCCCTTGGCATTGGGGTATTTGGATAACGTATATTGAATGCTTCTGACTTGTCAGGTACTATTCTAAGCCCCGTACTTTTATTAACTCATTTAATCCTCATAACAGCTCTATGAGTTAGGTACCATTATTATCCCTGTTTTCTCAGTAGAGGAAATAGAGGTTGTCCAAGGTTACATAGTAGGTGATGGAGCCATATAATGAACTCCGGAAGTCTGACTATAGCATCCACCCTTCTAACTCCTCTGTTAATGCACCTCTCAGTTTATTATTTAACAATGTTTAATATCATTAGGGAGGAGCCCTGTTGGCGAAGTGGTTAAGGACTCAGCTGCTAACCGAAAGATCATCGGTTTGAATCTACCAGCCCCTCCGTGGGAGAAAGATGTAGTAGTCTGCTCCCATAAAGATTTACAGCCTTGGAAACTCTATGGGGCAGTTCTGCTCTGTCCTATAGGGTCGCTATGAGTTGGAATCGACTTGATGGCAATGAGTTTGGTTTTTTGGTTTGAATGTCATTAGGCTAAGAGGACCTATTGGATCCAACCCCACCGTAACCCTTGTCATGGCCTTACCAGTGGGATCATAAAATTCCAGATCCAATGGCCAAGACTCCTCCCCTGAACTGTCCTGGGATGGGCAATACCAACATTTTCCTAACACTCTTTTTTTTTTTTTCTCCCTGATTTTCCCTCACTTAGTGAATGATCAATTCTTTCTTTATATATGTTAATACATTTAATCAGGTCATCTCCTGGCCTAGGGACTTTCTATCTCTTTAAAAATTTGTATATCTATACTTAGATGTTTGGATTTTATATTTTAAATGTCTATTCCTTAAACATTTCTACTTCCATGTTCTCAGGGAACACCTCATTTAGGCTAATATGTACTATTTATAACTGAAATACTGTCTAATTATAAGATAATTTCATCTGCAAGTTCTTTAGCTTGGCCCTTGAGGAAAGTATATCATAGGACCACTGTTTGCTTTATATTTATTGATTAAAAAATGTTTTTTTACTTTGCTTATGGTATCTGGCAAAAGAAACCATAAGCAAAGTAAAAGACAAGCCCCATACTGGTAGAGTAATTTGCAACCCATATAAACAGTGAAGGATTAGTATCCAGAATATATGAAAAATTACTTCAACAACTGGAAAGTAAGGAAGAAAAAAATATACATCATTAGAAAAGTGAGGGGATGTAGGTATGAATAGGCCATTCACCCAATAAGAAACCTGAATGGGCAAAAAACACATGAGAAGATGCTCCATTTCAGGGTGATGGTAATCAGGGATGTGCGAATTAAAACCACGGTGTGATACCATTTCACACCTACCAGATTGGCAAAAATTAATAAATCCAGTATAACGAAGTATTGGTGAGGATATGGATAAACAGGAACTCATATCTTACTGGTAAAATCACATTCAAGAGTAATTTGTCAAAGCTGAGACAAATCTAAGGTGTGCATACTTTTACACCCAAACATTTCTACTTCTATTTCAGCCATGGGGAAGCTCCCCATATGTGTACTAGGTGTATGAGGCTTTCACTTAAGCATGGTTTTGCATTGTGAAAAAGTGGAAACCACCTAAGTGCCCATTGTTAAAGGAAATGGAGAAATGAGCTGTTATTTATTCCTACAATAAAATACTGCACATCAGTGAAAATGATTGAATGAGACCTATGTGCATCAACATAGACAAACATAATTTGAGTGAAAGAATTAGTAAATTTTTTCACTAATGTAATACTAAGATGTAGTATTACATCTAATATACTAAGATATAATCACAATGTAATACTAAGACACTGTGGGTGTAAAATTTAAAAACAAAAAGTAGTACATATTGTTTATGCATACATAATGTTGTAAAAGTACAAAAATAAACAATGGAATGATATACACTAACTTCAGGAAAGAGGCTACCTTGGGGAAGGCAAGGATGTAAGCTGGGCTTTAGTATATATAACGTTTTGATTGTATATATACAAAGGAACTCTTAAGAAAATAAGGCCAAAACATTAATATCTGTTCAATTTGGGTGATGGGTGCTTAGAAGCTTGTTATATTGTGTTTTTCTTTTTTATATGTTTGGAATGTTTTAAGACCTAAAAAAAAATTTTATGTGGAATTACCAACCAGAGTATAATTGAAACAGTTAATTGTTGCTCCTGAAATAATTTGCATGGCTTATTAAAGCAAAAAGAGATTCTGTGCATCACTAACACCTACGTACATCCAAACTATAATTAGAAACTTTTCCCAAAGTTTATCTTATGATGGTCTCTAAGCATTTCCTGGGCCAGAAGCAAAATTAATAAAGGTAAAATGCTCTAATTTGATTCTTTTTTTTCCCCCCTTCTATTCAACCTGTATGGGTTTGTACTGGATTATCATCCATGTATCAGATAGAGCTTTTGCCAAGTATACAAATGTATGATAGCTAGAAAATAAGGCTTTAAGATTTTGATTTTTTGACATCACACAATTTTGATAACTGATAAGCAGAATTTTTTTTGTCCCAAATGCATATTAATGGCAATTTTTGATTTTTAAAACAAAAGACAACTTAGTAATTACCATTGTGCTTGGACAGAATGAAAAGAAAATTAAAAGTATTGTCTTAGCAGAGACAAAGGACCCCTGGTGGTGCAGCAGTTAAGCATTTGGCTACTAATCAAAAGGTTGGCGGTTCGAATCCACCCAGTGGCTCTCCGGAAGAAAGACCTGGCTATCTGCTCCCTTAGAGACTGCAGCCAAGAAAACCTTACGGGCACTTCTACTGTGTCACATGGGGTCGCTGTGAATTGGAATTGACTGGATTGCACCTAACAACAACAACAGCAGAGACAACTTGCATTCCTTCATACGTAGAGTACAATTGACACAACACACGGCAGTGAAGATTAAATGATGGAATGCACTTAAAACTCCTAACACAGTGGCTTCCCATTCCCTTGCATGTGAAATTAAAAGAGCAGGGGGAGGTTGTGTATAAGTAAGAGGCAAAAAAGAAGTTTAGGATAAGCCAGACACCTCCTTTCCAGTGCTATGTCGATTGTTACCACCACCCAACCAATTCACTTCATCATCTGAAAAGCAGATTGAACTGAGGCACTATAAGCAGCCACTTATAGGAGTGTTTTCTTAGTGGGTAATAGCTGTTGCTGCTGAGTCGATTCCAACTCATAGCGACCCTATAGGACAGTAGAACTGCCCCATAGGGTTTCCAAGGAGCAGCTGGTGGATTCAAACTGCTGACCTTTTGGTTAGCAGCCAAGTGATTTAACCACTACACCACCAGGGCCCCCAGTTAGATAATGTAGCTATGAAAAAAGACACTGCATCACCCAACATGAGAATGTGCCTTATTTTCTATTTCATCTGAGTTGATATTCAGATTATATTCTAGGGTTTGAATGCTTTCTTCTGATCAAAAATACAAGTTTCTTTATATATAGTTTATTGTGTCTGCTAGTGCCTGACATAAAAGTAAATGTCATATCTGTTGTGAGTATTTTTCCTGCTTTATATTTTTGTGTATGGTTTTTGGCAAAGAAGAATCTAAAATTTTAAGTCAAATATGTGAGATTTTTCTGATAGTTATTTTTATTATTTTATTAATAGAAAATTATTACCCATCCACAGATGACTCAGTTGCTTATATGCTTTTGACTCGTAATGATTTTGTATTTTACTTTCAACTCTTTAATTCACTTACAGTTTTTTGGGTGTGATAGAAGGTGAGGCTATAAATTGACTTCAAAAAAAATAGACATAGCAGTATTTATTAGTCCATCCCTCCCTTCCTCTATGGTTTTTGTGATGCTTCTTTTATTTGTAGAGATTCTGACTGAGGGAGAAGAGTGTATCAGAGTCATTCGGGAAGCTTTTTAAAATTACACTTCACCTTTGCAAGATTCTAGTACATCTTGACTAACAGAATCTTAGGTCTCCCTCTGATTTGTTCCTCCCCCCACCCTTTTGAGAACAATTAGTTTGTCATATACTCTTCTCGTATATCATCTGGGGTCTGCTTAGAGATGTGCATTCTGTTCCACTGATAAGTTTATCCTTGGGTCTGCCCCACAGTGTTTTCTTTATTGTAGGAAAAGAATATATTTTACTATCTGGTAAAGTACGTTTCCATTCATATTTCAAAAGCCTAAAAAATACTCAGCCTATTAACATGTTTCTGCAAAATCCAAGATGCCTGTTGAGAGAACTCTATTTCATTCCATTTTTCTCTTGGGGATAACTTTCCGAAAGGCTTTGGTTCAAAGGGTTGTTAATTGTATTAGTTCTACTTTGATATCAAGAGGACCAAAGAATCCATTTTAAAAAGAAGTTGAAGGTAAAACCTTCTGTACTAGAACAGCATTTTCTTTTTTCTCCGGACCTGATCTTAGAAATTCAACCACCATTAAACCGAGCTCTGCACAAAATACTTTTCCATAACTAACAACAATACTCAGCATTTCAGTCTCATTCTGACAGCCAGACAGTTAATTTTGCCCTTGTTTGGTTTTGCATATGGGAGATGTTATTTAGAGACTTTGTTCTGAAGGTCTTTTGCAAGGTGAATATATGCATATATTTCTGAATTTCCTTTTTCTGTATACTTCTAGAACTGAACCTTGGGTGTAGGGAGGTAGATATGCTGCTTGCATACACTAATGCTCAGTAACAAATAAAAGATTACATATAATAAATAGCCTTAAATTTGGTAAGTCAGTAGCATATTTTTCTAAAAATTTAGAAACATTCTCAGGATTCAGGTTGCTCAAAGTGTGTTATTATAGAGTTATAAACAAACCTACTTTTTCAAATCAAAATGTATTTTATTGCAAATAATAACTACAGAAAGCATTAATTCAATGTGTTTAAAAAAAATGTTTAATGCCATTGTATAAGACTTTATAAGGATCGTCTCATTTAATACAAATAATGAGACAAGCAGCATCCAGAACTATGAGTATATTTATTTTTCTTTTAATGTTCCTTAAAACTAATAATAATAATAATATTTGATAATATAATTTAACTAAACTGTATGTTTACGATAAAGACATGGAGAAATATAAAATGCTTACCAATAATGTGAAAAATATTTTAAATTTTAGGATATAAGGGAAAATAAATATATTCGTATTTTTAAATCATACAAACAGAAACGCTGAATTTCAGTTAGTTGGTATTTGTTAACATTGTCAGGGCAAGGTAATTAATACCATTTTATTACTTTTTTCTGAGCCTCTAATTTTTCTGTGAATTTCCATTTTTATTCTCAAATATTACTTTTTTTTTAAATGTAATTCTACTTTGACCTATTCTTTATTCAACCAATTATGTGCACTTTTTGAAATATGGTTAACTGAGCATTAATTATATATAAGCCAAATCTCGTTACAATAAAGTCGACTCTAACAAAAATCTTAATGCTCGTTAACAATGTTTTCCCAGACAGTGGCCTGCCTTAAGGTTTAAGGAGTATTTTGACTGTAAAAAATCCTCCTCTGTGATAGAAACTTATGAATGGATCCTTGGAGTTTATCATAACAGGCCTTTACGCATTCACTCAACAGCATTTGCGTTCTGTGAGTAACCAAAGAACTGGGCAAATGCTGGCCACACTTCGGAGAATGGTTGCCCTAGTGATACCACCCAGATTGCAATTTTGTTGATGTTCTATACTGCTAGATCCAGATAGACTGACTAGAAAAAAACCTAAGTACGTGAATTTTTTTATTCTTTTAAGCACCCCATCTCTCCTTTCCTCCCTGTCTCGTTTATCCGTTCGTTCATTCAATTATTCAGCAAATATCTGTTGATCTCCTCTGTGCCAGGCAGTGGGCTTAGCTTCAGGGAGGCAGTGATAAACAAGATAGAGATCTTTTTCTCATAGACCTGACAGTACAGTTCTTTTTGAACATAAACAAAAATTTTAGAATTTGATTCTTTCAATTCTAATTTACAGGTTTTCTTTGTTGTTATGAAATATTTCAAACACCCATAAATATAACAAAAGTAATACCAGCAAACACCCATGTACCTACCACCTAGGTTTAACAGACATTAGCATTTTGCCATGTTTGCTTCGAATCTCTCGAGAAGTAACCTAGGTTAACTTGAAGTTGGTATATATGTTGTGTGTATTGCCATGAAATGTTTTGTATTTTTGTTGCATATTTATAGCTTCATAAAGAATATGATATTGTTTTATATGTTTTTGCGTTTTACATAAATGATTTCTTATGGTACATACCCTTTTACAGTTTGTTGTTGTTGTTACTCAACATTGTTTTTGAGATTTGCCCATGTTCATGCATGTGGATGTAGTTCATTTAATTGAAGTGCTGTATAGTACTCCACTTTGTGAATAAACCACAGTTTACTTCTCCATTCCTTTGCTCTGATGGATAATTAGGTAGTTTCCAGTTGTTTAATGTCATGAACAGTCGTTACTGAGCATCATTACATATGCTTTCTTGTATACATATTTCAGTAATTCTATAAGATGTATACTTAGTAGTGGACTTGCTGGACCATACGGTATGCACATCTTTACTTTTACAAGGTATTTTACCAATGTGGTCCAGATGGCTAAGTCATTAATAATTCTGTTTTGAATAAGGGGTGATTTTTAAGTCCTGTTGCTAGGCTGTTGAATTCTTAGCTCATCTGTTGCTTGATTTTATTGCACAGTATTTAAATTCTTTCCGTTTTTATCTAAGCAGTGATAGATAGTGAGTAATGTTGTTTTTATTAGGATTTTATTAATTATAATTTCATCTGATATAAAGATTTAGGCATAAATGAATATATTGACAAATTCTACAAGCTTTTTAAATGACAAATGAACATATATTTCTGACATTTTAAGTTGATTCCCAAATCATTTAACTTACTTTAAACATACTTTAAATTAGTACTAGTACCAGGTGCTTGATTTTAATAACTGCTTTAGTGACTTGAGAAACTATCACATTTTCCTTAATTATTTTGTTGTTAAAGCCATTGAATTTCACTCAGCTTCATAATCTATGTTAAGCGTGTTAGGCTAACAATTTAGTTTTAAAAGATTTTATGTGTATATTTAAAATCTAGTAATAAATGTAAGCTTTTCTTTCCCTTGAAATATTTTACAATTAAGCAAATGAAATACGGCAAATAAGAGCTTTGAGAAGATTGGAGTTTTGTAAATACTAGAGCTTTGTTTTACAATTTTTTAGTTCTTCAAGGAATTAATAGTCTGTGTTTTGTTGTTCTTTTTAATATGTTTACCTCAAGTACTTTAAGAAGTAGACTAAACTTTAACTGCAACAGAGACATCATGCAGGGAGTATCCTGGTTTATATTCTGAAGTGCTTTCACTCCTGCTTGCTTCCCCTTGAAATCGTCTGGAAAGAAGTTGGCACATTATTTTGCGGATGTTACTGGACATCAGGAAATACATGACTGGGTCTAAGCAGCTATTGAAAGATGAGAGAACCAGCATGATCTCATTGGTTTTGTGAACGATTTCCTTCCAGTAGCAAGATGACTTATTTAGCTGTGAAAAAATATAGATGAATCGAAAGGTGTGATAGGGAACAAAACATATAGTAAAAATGATAAGTACAATAAAGGAATTCCGGGCTGTAGTAGCATATTTACCAGAATTAGGAAATTTCGACCTCCTTTTAGAAATCCTCAAAAGATTCTTGCCTATTTTAATATATGAAAGGATTATTAGTAGGAAAATTAGCCAGAACATTACCACAAGAATGAAGTTAAAAATTGCTTCTCCTTTTGCATTACGCTTATCTCTATAATGGAAACACATTGTGGAATTATGCCCTTCTTTCTTCAGTGTTAAAGTAATCATAGTTAGAAATACAGCTAGAGCAATTGTCCATACTGTACAGCAAACATAAATACTTTGTTTGGTTGTTATTACCTTCCGTTGTTGTATAGACCGATTAATTTTTATGTAGCGATCCAAACTGATGAATCCAAGCAAAATAATGCTAATGTACATGTTCATATAAAATAGTGTTCCCACAACCTTGCAAAAAATCACACCCAGTGTCCAGTTGTTTTGGTTAATGTGATGCATTATTCGGAAAGGGAGGCAGAAGATGAGCAGGAGGTCTGCAATGGCGACATTAAGTAGGTAAATTTGAATAGAATTTCTTTTGCGATGGATACCCAGAAATACATAGAGGGCAATAACATTCCCAACCAGTCCCACAATGAAAATAACAGAGTAGAATGTTGTTAACACATTAGACAGTAAGTTTTCATCCATGGAGCAGACGGTAGTAACATTTGATGTTTTTGAGAAGTTCTGTGGTGATTGGTCACTGTGATTAGTGATAAAGTGTGTTCCATGGGAGGAGAAAGGCCAGTTGCTGACTGAAGTTGTCATCATTGTGACGATGTGACTTCTCGTTGTTTTCTGTGGAGATCAAAAAGTGAAGATGCTAAATGACATGTTTCTTGTGGGTAGTTTCTATGTCTTCAGATTTTTCCTACAATATAATGCCAAACAGTCATTTTCTATTTTAATAGCAGTTACTTTAACTCAAAGCATAAATAACAAATGATTTATTTTCAGGCATTGTGAGAAACTTTACTTTTATCCTTCTTTGGACTATTTGAATATCTACACTCTGTATGTAGCAGCATTATTGTTATCACCAAACAAGCAGCAAACACAGTAGGAGCTTATAGAATGTCCTGCTCTAACCTTTCCTATGGTTGTGGTATATATTCAAGGCTGGTTTCATTTATTATATTAAAATAAATAATTGAATTATAAGATCGTCTTTACTTAGGGAGATTATTGGGGGAATAGAGATGGAAGTGAAGAAAAATCACAACTGATATTTTTCAAAGATGAGCATTAGTTTTCCTAAAGGTGATTATAGCCTTATGAGTAAGTGGGCCCACTGATGGCCCTGCCCAGCCTTAGAACTGCTTCCTGTCTTGACCCTTTCCCTCATATGTGGCATTTATTCTTTTTGACACATGTTGTCACACAGGGTGTAACAGACAAACTGTGGGAATCTCTCATTCCATGGTGGAATTGGGGATGAAGGTCCTAATTTTCTTTCACTGTACACCTAAGACCAAGTTGGGGGTATGCAATTAACACAACAGACCAAGAGAGCACAACACCTGTCTAGAACCTTATAAGAGCTAGTGTGTGAATTCTGCTTGTTGTTTGTGGCAGCAGAGAATCTTAGCAATGCTACTTATTATTGGTCCTTTCCTAGGCATTGACTGCCTTGGAGATCTCAGCCTGAGGCCCCATCATAAAGAGCTAGAAGACACGAGGTGAGGATTGCAGGAAAAGTCTCATCACATTCCTTTCTTAGAATGATTGCCCTATTTCTCAACAGCAGCCTCTTAGCAGGCGTACCACATAGAGGTTCCGAACAAGATTTTCGAAATCAGACCTAACTGACTCTGTAACCTTGGACAAATAGCTTAATCTTTTCTAAGCCTCAACTTTCTCATTGGTAAAAATTAAAAATGCATATAAAGAACTTAACCCTGGCACATAGCAAGTACTCAATAAAAGTTAGCTTTAAAAAACACCTTTTGATGAATCTCGTTTTAGCAAATATTTCATACCTGGCTAAGTATTGCTTAGAAAACAAAGGTGAATAAAACAGAGACCTTGCTCTTAGGAAATATTTTTGTAGGAGTGTGCATTCAAACCCTGAATGCTATAGGGTAAACTGAATTTGAATCATAATTAATTTCCTGATTTGACATTATACACAGAGGAAAATTTGGAAGAACTTAGCCTTTCTTAAAACTCTACTTATAATTTGATCAAGATGAAACCGTTCTGGTAGAGGGTAAAATTCAGGTTTAAATTTTTGTAGATGGGGGAATTAATTCCAACAAAGAGGAATTGGCTAATGAAGAGGAAGTCATGTAATCCCTGGTAAGAAGAGTCTGTCACTCTAGAGTTCAGGACAGTGGGAGGAGCGGGGAGTAAGGAGGAAGGACTGAGTCTAGTCTGGTGTGTGTCTCAACTGCAGAAGATGGATTTCACAAAGTTTATAGAAACTTATAGGCATGTTTCTCAGGCATGATCTGAGATTCTTCAAAGGAAAGTCAATCTAGGAAGAATGACAGGCTGCCAAAAATGAAACTGATAATACAGTCTGAACTTCTAGGAAGAAGAAAAGATCTGTGTTGTGTGGCTACATAGGGAGCTCTCAAAAGGCTCAAAAAACAAACCAAACTCATTGCTGTGGAGTCGATTCTGACTAAAGGGAGCTTGAGACACAAGAAATGAAGTGATTTTGAGAGCTCAGGTAGCTCAAATAGCTCCAAAAACTCATTTGTAGGTAGTTATTTATTTTTTTCTTCTCCCTTACTAGATTTTAAACTCTGTTAGGGTAAGAACTGGGACTAAATTATTTGTCTCTGTATACCAAGTGCTTAGCACAATAAATATTGTTGAATGAAAGATGAAATTTAGCAGACATATATGTAAAGTTCTGCATGTGAGTATTAAAATCAATTGGACAAGTTTCAGGAAAAGCTTTAGTTGTATTAACAGAAACACAATTGCAATTGACTACGGTTGCTCTTATCAGTAGTGTGAGATAGCTGTAACAAAATCTAACTCCATCTTTGGTTGAATTCATAGATACATAGTGTCTTAAAGGTTGTTACTACTAGTCTGGTTCTGTATCAGGCTGGTAGGGTTTCACCTGGAGTACGTTTCATCCTGAGCAGCGTATTCAAAAAAGGCTGCAGACCAAGTGGGGAGAAGAGTTCATTCAAATCATGTCATAGGAGCAAACTGAAGGAATTAGCCACCATACCCTAGAGATGTGAATGCTTCACAAGGCCATGGAGGAAAGGGTTTCAGCTTCTTATATGTGTCTTCAGAAAGCAGAACAAGGACAAGTGAGGAGAAATTGCAGAGGCAGATGTTGCCTCCTTTTAAGGAAATAACTTTTTTAGAATGGAACGATCTATCTTGGGAGGCAATAGGGTCTTATTACTGAAGATTTTCCAGACTGCCACCAACTGGGTATTTTGTACAAGGGATTCTCAGTGGTTTGCAATCCTGGCTGCATGTTAGAATCCCCTCAGGGGCTTTTTAAAGATACCAATGCCTGCCTGGCTCCATCCCCAGATATTGATTTAATTGGTCTGAAACTGGCTCCGGGCAATGGTTTTCTTTGAAAGCTCCTCTGGGATTCTAATGTGCTGTCAGAATTGAACCCTTGAGCTAGATGACCAAACCATTAACTAATATTTATTTAGCACTTGCTGTGTACCAGACACTGTGTTAAGCCTATTTATATAACTTCATTTACATAATCCTTACAATAAACTTGTGAGGTAGGTATTACAAAAGAGGTAGTGAAAGATCAAGAGGTTATGACTGTTTACCCAGGGCCACACAGCTCTTAAATGGCAGTGCTCAAGTTAGGACTCAGGTCTGTCTGACTTTGAGAGCCTGTGATCCTTTTCATCAAACCTCACTTTTTCTTATCACGTATGATCAGCATTTTCCTTATGAATGTTGAGTTGCAGCAGCAGTATTTTGACATGATTCATTTAACATTATCCATGCTAGCAGTTTTAAGAAAAGATTCTGCCATTTATTTACTTCTTTGGAAAATGTATTAATCTTATTTGACATGTCCATTATAGTAAGTAAATAAATTCAGAGTCTTCAGAATCATGAAACATTCATCAGAATGTTCAGCATATCTCCCAGAGCATATCTTTCCAAACTTTACTTTTAGACCTGATAGCCATAATTAAGATGTCACTAGAAAGCTGTTAGCACAAAGTACGTGTCCTGAAACCATTGCCTCAGCTCTAATCTGTAAGTAAAATAAATAAATAATAGTTGCACAAAACAGTAAACATTTCTGGTTTTGCTTTATTTATCTGGTTTAGAGAATAAAGCAAAAACAAATGCATTTGTTTAAAATGGTAATAGTAGCCATCATTTAGAACCATGTATTAGATGGCTAGTGCCCAATTATTTATTTACAAATTAACAGATTAGAGTCTATTCTAAATGTAATGGCTCATTTTGCCTCCTTTAAGGTTGTTTAGAGGAGCCCTGGTGGCACAGTGGTTAAAGCTCTCAGCTTCTAAACAAAAGGTCAGCGGTTCGAATCCACCAGTTGCTCTTTGGGAGAAAGATGTGGCAGGCTGCTTCTGTAAAGATTTACAGCCTTGGAAACCCTATGGGGCAGTTTTCCTCTGTCCTATAGGGTCGCTATAAGTCGGAGTCGACTCGAGGGCAGTGGGTTTAGCTTTGGTTTTTAAGGTTGGTTGGCACATTAACGATGTGTCAGTCACTATTCTTAAGGCTCTTTACTGATGTTTTAAAAACTACATGTTTGATAGTGTCATGAATTGCCGGTGAAGACAAGAAATAAACCACTCTGTGTACATAGTGGACTAGTATCCCAGTGGACATTACTTGTGACACATGCACTATATTGAAGTGATTGCAGTGGTTTTCCAATGGTAGATGGTAAGTGTTTTTCCACCATTGTTACTTGGCAAATTGTGAAGTTAACAACCCTACATTAGTGCCTTGTACCCACCCCACCCGATTTTTTTTAACTGGCTCATATAAGAGCTACTGCACTGGAGGGCAGGACCTAACAGATTCCACTGTGGCCCAGATGAGCAGAAGCTTTTTAAATGCAGTTTTGGTACGTTCGTGAAAACATCACATTGCTATGTTAAAATACATACCTACTTGATAATAGTAGCAACCTTTCACCGTTTTCAGTTTGACTTGATAGTGACTGAATCATTCAGGCCATGCTTCTAAAATTGCATTAATTGCTGCAAACAGAATGAAAATTGAAAGCGTATTACTTTGGGAATAATATTAATAGTATATTAGGTTTTGTTATAAACTTATTTGTGTCTAAAAGACCATTTAAAAATTTTTTTTAGTTACTTGAATTAATTAAAGTGCATTTTTTGCTTTTTTTTTCTCTAATTAAAAAAAAACAAACTCGTTGCCACTGAGTCGATTCTGACTTATAGCAAGCCTACAGGACAGAGTAGAACTGCCCCATAGGGTTTCCAAGGAGTGGCTGGTGGATTTGAACTGCTGACCTTTTGGTTAGCAGCTGTAGCTCCCTGTAGCTTTTAACCACTATGCCACCAGGGCTCCTATAATTACCATAAAATAACAATGTAATAAAGCAAATACTGTAATTGAAAATAGGGAGACAGCATAGCTTAATAAAGTTAAGCGGTTACAGATAGTTTAGAATACACTGGAAATAAAATTCATTGCATATGAAAATAATTTTTAATCAATTCAAGTAGATCTACAAATCTTTTTTGCAATATACAAAGCATAGTATAAGCGGTGTGACTGTATTGACAGTATAAGCTTAAATAACCTTGAATGCCCCAAAGTTCTTAAAGTAACTCAAGTAACATAGCCTCAGGCTCATTTTAGTCAAGGCAGAGGTATCACTCCAGGTGTCATAATTTTAGAATTAGATGAGGTTTGTGATGGTATTCTCCCCTTGTTATCACTGTGATAAACTCTGCCAAGTAAATTAAAATATCTACTATATTAAAAAAAATAATGAAGAAATTCTGCAGTTTTTGTTTTGGTCCTAGTCCAGTATTTAACCACTATCTGTCTTACTAAAAGCAAAATACTACTGATATTAGAGCAGCCTTATCACCATGAATCAAGTTTCACTTTTAATGTTCAGATAATCAGATTATAGCTAAAATAAAGGATCATTTATTTAGTTGAGATGAAGGAATACTCACAGTTCAGGCTCTCCCACAGTAAAAGGAGCTGAACCCCAAACTTCCCTAGATGCAGAGACTTGTCTTGGTTGTGTTATCTGGACTCCTCCATCCGGTCGTTGTGCAATTGGTTGAGGTTTCCTTCTTTTTTATATTCGCATGTTGGTGGTTGATTTTTTTTCTTTCATTCTTTTTTCGATATGACAACCCTCAGACTCCTTTTGAAAATATTGAGGGCTCACCACCATACAACAGCATTATGTTTAAACTCAGTCATCACTTAAGTTTAGGAAGTTATACATTTTTTATAACTACCTCCCAACTTGATAGTTGTGGAAAATTTTCTTCACCCCCCAAAATAAAGAATTTTCATAAATTCTAAGCAGAAATATGTATTTTCCATTTTTCCTAATAAATTACTTTTATAAAAGCACAAGCTTTGAATTTCTGTTTCTTTCTGGAATTGTTTTAGAAATTAAATTATGAACATGAAATGACATTCTGTGTGGAATTATACTAACATCAGGATGAAAATATTTTATTCTTTAATTATTTTCTGTTTTATTTGATCTGTATATTATTTTAGTATATTTCCACATATTCCTTAAGATCTTGGATTTATTTTCTAAAACAATGTTTGAATTTTAGGATTGGATGAGATTTGTGATGGTATTCTCCCCTTTCTAGCACTATGATAAACTCTGCCAAGGAAAATATCTCCTATATTTTAAAGAAAATAATGAAGGGGTTCGGCAGTTTTTGTTATGGTCCTAGTCCAATATCTGTCCACTATCTGTCCATCTATGTAACTGCTAGCCCTGCAGTTTAATGTCATTTCCCCTTTTTTGTTGTCGTTTGAAATGAACAGTTCGTTTTAATCCTCCGCATAATTGTTACTTACCCTGCAGCCTTGTTTACTTTAGGCTAAATCGTATTTAACTCATTGGGCTTTATCTAATATGCTGATTATTCCTGGGTACACTCTTCTGAACATCATATTCTGTAGATCTTTTAGTTTGCTATAAATATGACACGAGTTAGAATTTTTTAAGTTACTAGAATAAAAATATTACTTCCCTCTAGAGCTTCTGAGAAGGAAGGTGGTTACTGTATTGGTCTGGCATGATTACTGTATTGGTCTGGCAGGAATTTTTTTTTTAATGACTACATAGGTGTAAAACTATTAGCCTTTTATTTCATAAAATCTAGTATAAATATCTTTTTTCTATATTATGCTAGTCATTTTTCACATCTAAGCCATCCCTTTTCAAAATACTAATCCTTCTTTAATCTTCAGTTCCCTAGTGGCTCTGTTGTGACCATGTTTTTTCTATTTTCTCCTCAGTGTGAGTCAGCAAAGCTACCACCAGATTTAAGTATAATCAGCCCATATAATCTTTTTCTAGTTCTTTCTTTATACTAGCCTTTTCCTGTTCATTCTGAGCTTTCTACTTTTTGTACCCTCTGCCCCTCACCATTTGTCTTTCTCCTTTGTTTGTGTCAAGCTTTTTGTTTGTATAAAGGTAGAAGTAAGAAAGAAGAAATAATGTTTTTGGATATCACTACCCTCTCTTTATCTAAATCCCAACCCTGGTTCAGTCCAGCTTTCCACTTAGTCCAGACCTGAACTGCAGCAGGGGACAAACACAGTCATGCTGATTGGTCTTGCTTCAAATTCATGACCACAAACCTTAAATGGTCCCCTGTGCTGCTAGCAGTCATTATATTTCCTTAGTCCAGTGGTTCTCAAAGCATGGCTGCCAGACCAGCAGTATCAACATCACGTTGTTCTTGACCTCATACGGAATATGAACCAGAAATTCTGGGGGTGGGGCCCAGCAATCTGTGATTCTGATGCTAAAGTTTGAGAATCACTGCCTTAGTCAATTCTCCTACTCTTTGAAAAGACTTTTTCACACCTTCAGTCTTCGCAAACTACCGTCAACCCTCTCTCCTTCCCCACTCCCAGCTGACGGTCACTTTTTATTTTACTGAGAAAATAGAAGCATTAAGAAGAGAACTTCCTCATCTTTCTACCTCCACATCTGCCTGCATCTACAGGTGCCCTGTGCCCTGCCTTCTCTGTTGCCACTAGGTCCACCCCCTCCACTTGTGCATTAAATCCCACCCCATCTCTCCTGGAGTATCAAGTTTTTCCTCTCTACTGGATCATTCCCATTAGCACACAAAACAAAAACTCCCTGAATAGCTCTAGGTACTGCTATGGAGTCATCTGTAGGATATATTGTTATGGGAAATTTATGAATATTTGTATGTATTTTCTTATTTCCACCCCCCCAAAAATGGAAGGACACACCAAAAACTAACAAAAATAGTTACCCATGGGAAGAGAGAGAAAACAAAAGCTAGACTTCTCTTAATGGTATTTGTTTTTTACTTTTGACTTTAGAATCATGTAAATGATATAATTTAAAGAGCAAATTAAGTCAAAAATCAAATTAAAACAAATGAGCCTCACTCCGAAACAAATTGAAAGTATAACCACAAGAAGAATGATTTTAAGTGACTTTAAAATCATATTTTTAATATAATTTTAGACTTAAAGTTTGCAAGAATAGTACAAAGAATTCCAAATATCCTTCATTCAGGTCCTCCAAATGTTAATGTTTTACTACATTTACTTGATCCTTCTCAGTCTCTCACTCTCTTTACTCATCTATCCATTTGTTTTCTAAAAATAAGGAATTCTATTATACAACCACAGTACAATTATCAAAATCAAGGAATTAATATTGAAAGAATACTATTATTTAATCTACTGACCTTGTTCAGATTTTCATCAATTGTCCTAATGATACAAAGCAAAAATAAAAACAAGATCATGTATTTAGTTGTTATATCTCTTTAGTCTTCTTTAATCTGAAATACTTCCTGAGTCTTTTCTTTGTGTTTTATGAAATGGATAGTTTTGAAGAATACAAGCCATTTACATAGTAGGATATACTTCAATTTGGGTTTGTCTGATGTTTCCTTATGATTACCAAACCAACCAGTTGCCATTGAGTTGATTCTGACTCATGGCAACCCATGTGTGTCAGAGTAGAATTACGCTGCATAGGATTTCAATGACTGATTTTTCAGAAGCAGATTGCCAGGCCTTTCTTCCAAGATTCCTCTGGGTGGACTCAAGCCAGCAACCTTTCGGTTAGCAGCTGAGCGCATTAACTGTTTGCACCACCCAGGGACTCCTTCCTTATGATTAGATCTGCTTATATACTTTGACAGGAATACCACACAAGTGTTGCTGAATTCTTCTCAGCGCATCATATCGGGAAGCACATGCTATCAATTAGTCCATTACTAGCAGTGTAACTTTGACAATAGTGTCTGCCAAATTTCTCTCCTGTAAAATTACAGTGTTACCCTTTGTAGTTAATAAGTGTTCTGTGGAAGCTACTTTGAGATTATATAAATATCCTCTTACTCTTCCAACTTGCACCCACTAGTTAACATCCTTTGATGATTCTTACTTGAGTCATATATAAGATTATAACTGCCAAAAGATAACTTTCTAGTTCCATCATTTCTTCTATGTTTATTAGCTGGTTTGCTACTTAAGGAAAAGCTTTTTCTTCTCCTTCTCCCTCATTCATTCATTCATTTATTTATTTATATCAGCATAGACTCACAGAGTCTTACTTTATCCAGCAGTAAAACAGTATTTTGACTGGGCTTACCTAGTGAGATATATTCTAAGAAGAAGAAAAAAAAAACCACAAAGAAACCTTAAACAGCTTATAGTAGTCTGGTTACTGGTAATGGTATTATTATTTTGAAACTTGACACACACAGTAGGATAAAGCAAATGAGTAATTATGTTAATGTCATTAGGTACCAAGATTACTTTACAAAATCAAAAAAGTAAAGACCCTATAATCAAATAGGAAAAAGCATCAGTATGAATTCCTGATTTATTTTTCTCCTTCTAAAAAATACATATTCTTTAGTTGTGTGCACTGAAAAGTCTGAGAAGCAATGATAAGCCAGTAGTAATAATATGCCTGGTACCCAGATTGTTCATTTAAATACTTCTTCCTACCAAAAAGCGTTGGGGCTGCTTGGAGAAATGACTAATTCCAGATGTGGGACAGGAAATGAACAAGATGAGCCTGGAACATTTTGTGCTTGAAAGCAAAGTCTAGAGTCTTACAAAAGGACATAAGAGCTGACTTAAAAGGGCTTCCACTGGCCAAAATTGGGACAGTTTGAGCATCAAATAAATAAATAAAGGCTGCAATTGATTAAAACACATCAAATATATATAAATCTACAAATTCATGGTAATACCAAAAAAAGTCCTTCATTATTGGTCACCTTTCGAGGTTGCCGAGAAACCAACTCATTTTTCTGGAAATAGTTCATAGCAGCTTTGTTCATAATATCCAAAAACTGGAAACAACCAAATGTCTGTCAGCCAGAGAATGGACAAACTGTGGTATATGCATACAATGGAATGCTTCTCGCAATAAAAAGGAATAAACTACGAATTGCAACAACATGGGTGACTCTCAGAAACATTATGCTGAGTGAAAGAAGCCTTGCATAAAAGAGTGCAACTGTTTGGGTTCATTTATATGAAGTTCTAATACAGACAAACCTGTGGTGTAAAAAATATCAGAATAGTGGTTTGCACTGGTGGATGGGGGTTGTTGAATGGGAAGGAGATGAGTGAGCTTTCTGGGATGACAATAATATCTTGATAGGAATTTGGGTTACATAGATATGTGCATTTGTCAAAACTCTTCAGTGGTACTGTTAAGATTTGTGTATTTCACAGTGTCTTAGGCTGGGTTCTCTAGAGAAGCAAAACCAGTAAAGCATATAACTATATACATAGAGAGATTTATATCAAAGAAATAGCTCACATGATTGTAGAGGCTGGAACGTCCCAAGTCCGTGGATCAGAATAGAGGCTTCTCTCAAGTCACGTAGCAACAGGGGCTGGTGAACCTAAGATCAGCAGGTCGGAAAGCAGCGCTCTTGCTCACAGGCTGTAAATATCGACAAATCCCAAGATTGGCAGGCAAGACCGCAAGGCTTCTCCTGATTCACGTAGCTGCAGGGGCTGGCAAAACCAAGATCGGCAGGTCGGAGAGCAGGGCTCCACTCACAGGCTGTGAAGATTGACAGATCCCAAGATCGGCAGATAAGCTGATAGCTCAAGTCCCAAGAACCGGAGGTCAGACAAACAGGAGGCAGCCGCAGGATCCAGAACAAGCAAGAAGCCAGAACGTCTGCTTATATTCAGATGCAAGCCACACCCCCAAGGAAACTCCCTTTCAGCTGATTGGCCACTCACAGCAGATTCAATCATGGGAGTGATCACATAAAAACACTGAGAATC